ATTTATGGCACAATTAAGAAGATTAAAAATAGCTAACCCACAAAAAGAAAGTGTTTTCCATAAAGGACTTCTTCAGTAAGTGTCAGTTGTGATATTATGCTGGTGATAAAGACTAATGATGACAATGGCGGTTACTTAAACAGACAGAAAAATTCAACTATACAAAACCAAACTGGCGATTTCTATTATAAAATACACTTTAAGATACAAATATATGGGAGAAAGTATACTTCAGATATAAAATTTCAAGATGGCTATTCTATATTTGTCCAATAAAACTTCACTTTGAAAATATTCCAGTATGATCCCAGCAATTTAGAGTTCACCTAAAATTTTCAATCTAAAAAAAAAGTGTACCTGTGAAAAATAATATTAAAAAACCCTAGCATGATAATAAGTCTTTTTCTCAGGGCCCACAAATACATTAAAATAAATATACCACTGTACATAAATAAAAGCTCTGAAATATGACTATGTTGTATTAAAATGTCTCATAAGAGGACAAATTTAGACTTCCTGGTATTTTAATATTGTCTTTTTCTTCATCAGTGGTGTACTGAAACCTCTGGATGAGGAAAGGGCCAGACCAACGCTGAAAGGTTTCAAATATCAAACTATACTATTATGTCAGTGCTCTAAGATCAATTAGCACCTTTCAATGACAGAAAAGGTTACCGTGAGACTCAAAGGAGCATCTCGGAAACTGTTTTAAACCACCATATAAATGTGTTTTTGATAACTTAAAATGGTTTCTAGTTTTAAATTAATCTGTTTCATCTCTGCTTCTGAAAGAGTAAGAAGAAGTTAAAGAAATAAGAATAGTGGTGTTCACTTTCATTCCTTACCGGTCAAAACATGGATGGGGACACAATCACAATAAGAACCACAGACTTTCAAGAGCAATACGGTGAATCACAAAGGCATTTATCAATGCGCAGTTCCACGAGTGTAGTAGGTTACAGACATGTTTACAAAGTCTCCGAACTAAGAAGCAACCGAAGTGGCTTGTACTGCATTTGAATATGTGACTCTTGTTTATTTTCCTCCACTCAAGTTCAAGTTAAATGACACTAAGTTTGGCTCTACGGACAATTTAATGAATATTCAGTGCTGTCCACATTAAAACACATATAACTGCAAAATGCAGTATTATGTACACTGCTATTAAAAACACATTGCATCGCACGCATTTCTAGAACAAATGCTTTAAAAAGCATATTCTTTATTAGTTCCTGGGGGAAGATTCACGAGAGAAGCAGGTACACAGCAACCTCATCTCATTCCTCCTTGGTGTTGATTTCATTCACCTAGTAACCATTGTAATAAAATCCCCCAACTGTATTTCTGAATACAGTTAGTTTAAGATACTCTACAGGGAGACATCTTCTAAGAGTTTAGAATATTCAACAATAATATCCGTTTGTAGAAGAAACTATCATGATCATATTCTCAGTGAAAAAATAACAAAGGTTTTGGTAGAGGATTGTTCAGCTCTTTGATGGGAGGACTCTTCTAGTTCTGATAGCGTGCTTTTCTGTTTGTTTTTTAGATGAGTGATCTGAAATATTTACAACCAGACAGTACCTAATTTTAGGTTTTAAGTGCTTTAACAGCTCCATGAAATATGATCAGCAGCTGCAATACAGAACTATGGTGAATAAACTCCTTATAAAAAGGGGCCTGTTTTCACTGAATGTTCAGTGTTCCCGAATTTAACCTAGTGGGGAAAAAAGATAATGAAAAACATAATAAATACTTGCACTTTTGAATTACTTAATACTTCACTGAGTCTTGAAAAGGATTATCTCCCCTCTTTTTGAATTCTGCACAGAAAGTTCCATTGGGTGAAATATGTTTAATTTTATTAGTTGAGAGTTAGAATGTGAACTTTCTAACCTCCTAATCTTTTATAACAACAGTGACATTTTTCTACATCCTACTTTTCTAAAAATTCTAGATAGTTCGATTCCAGTAGATGAATGTTTTAAAAATGAAATACCGAGCCACATAAACATATTTTTAGACATGGCATCAGTCATTTGGAGCCTGCAGCAGACATTGAAAACATGAAACTGGACACCCCATTTCCGTGGCCATGTAAAATTTATTTACACCCCAAATCACAATACAAATAAAAAAGAAGCTCTTAGAAAGAAGGGCTGTTTCTTTTTTTAACTCCAAGAGGGTTTTTTTTTAAAGAAAAAAAATATAGCAAAATGACAAACTACTTATCTGCCAGTCTCCCCTCAAAAAAAAAAAAACACTTTCATGCAGCCAATTTTGTTTCAACTAGCTTTTACAAATCCTTGAGAAGGCTTTGTCTGTATTTTTAAATGAGTAATAATTGTTCTTGAACCAATTTATTTTTATATAAGCCTTGGGTTCTTTAATTTTTAAACGAACATGTTACTTAAATAAATATTAACTATGAATATGTACAGATAAATAAAACTTTTCATTTTGTAAAAGATATTCAGTTTCTAACATCCAATAAAATACTCACTAATTAATAAAAATAATCAAGTAATTTTTTATTCCAGTTGCTTGTGAAACCACTGATTATCATGGCCTTAAAATGTTGAAACATACTATTTGCAGGAAATTGACAAAGAAAAACAGGCTTTTGAAAATGACATTGATTTCAGACCTTCACTTGTTATGAAAGACAAGGCTACAGCCCTACTAATCAGAAAAAAAAGGAACAGTTTCCAGATAATCTAATTATGTAACTTTTAAAGCTATAACTGTTAAAGTTTTTAACTTTCTTGTACAGTCATTTCTGAAAATTGGTTTAACTCTGAATGACTTACAACTTTTAATCAGGTGGAACAAACTATTTTTATGGTTTATAATAACAATAAAAATGGATATAGTTATATCTGCATTTGTTATTGTGGCCATAAAAATTAGACTCTGGCCCACAAAACAGTTTGTCTCTTGTTACTACTGCTACTTATTTCTTGTGATACTGTTATTTTTAAAAACACACAAATGCCTTTGAAAGCAGTCTCCTAAAACGCACCATACCACGCATCAAGCACTTTGTTTGAGGGTTCTCTTCCGGTCACCCTCCCTAGTTTTTGGCTCTTGGGCTCTATACAGGCCAACCAGAAATATTGTAAAAGAAAACAACAACAACAATAAACAATATTTCTACTTAAGAAGTTCTGGACTGAAAAGGTTATCAGATATAATCCTTGTCCTGGGGAGGTTTTTAAAAATTAAAAGCTCAACAAAGAAAAAAAAAAAACATCGTCAACTTGCAATACTGTCAGTCACTATGTGTAAATGAAACTTCAGAAGCTGTTGACGGCGAGCGGGCGGCTGTTAAACGCTCCCGAGACGCCCCACCTCGGTCCCGCAGGAGCCCGCACCGAAACTGACCAGCGGCGGAGGGCGCAAAAAGTGGCTGCCGATGGAAAGAACAAAATACCATATTCGAGAAGATATGTTTCGCTCCATGAGTTACGCTGATCCCAGGGTGCCAAGCCAAAAGGGGTAAGGGAGAAAGAAAACTGTTAAGTATGAGCTCTTAATGTGAAACCTAACCTGTTGGTTCTCTTAGGTATCAGATTTTGGAAGTGTCTGTAATGACAGCCAGGAAAGCAAATTAATGGCCAACAGCCCACTGGGTTTGAACACGAGACTCCTGTTACCTCCTCACAGATCAAGTACACAACACACACACACACACACACACACACACACACACGGAGGTGCTCCACGTGGAACTGCTCTGAAACCAAAACACACTCCCCGTCGCTCTTTTGCACTTCGGCAGAAAGGCCGAGGGCCCGGCACCTTCCTCCACTACCCTCAGATTGAGAGGCACGAATGAGTGCCCGCTCGGGAGCGCAGGAGACAGGGGAGAGAAGACGGTCTCCAAACAACACCCCATCCGCCTCCCCTCCCCCTACACACACTCACCCGAAGAACAAACCCCCTAACCTTCCAGGAAGGGGGCAGAGAGGTGGCGGTGAGGGGAGACACCGCCACCCCAACCAGGGAAAAGATGACAAAAATTAAACTGCGCTCTCCAGTTTCGCCACGACTCTGCCAAGTGACTCGGTCGGAAAATTCCCTAATAGCTCCAAGCTGTTCCGAATAACGTATACAAAGAAAGAAACGTCTTTAAAATGCTACTAAACGAAAGTTCTGGCTGCTGTGTGGAGCAAAATAAAACAAGCACGCACACTGTCTACTTCCAAATCCCGCTTAACCGCACGAACACAGCGAGCCGTGTCCAGTCCCACAGCCACCCCCAAACCAGAAGGCTTGGAAACGAGAGAAAACCTGCTCCCCCAGCCAGGTCTCTTCGTTTGGAGAAGCTATAATCCCTCCATGGCATTCGAGTCCCGGGCCAATGAACGCGACTCCTCTGACAAGGCGCCTCTAATTTCACGGACCCTGGCAAACTGCAGACGTTCGGACCACGCCACCAAAAAACCGATTAGCGTAGGATGGCCGCAGTTTAAAAGCCCGGTTCGTGCCTGGAGATTGGAGCACAAGCACTGACCGTACACACGCACCCTGCACCGTAAAAAGCCCAGGCGCCCGGGGCCTTCCCCGGTACCGGGATCGGCATCTTTCAGCCAGGCTCATTTCGGGGTTTATCACAAAGTAGTAAATGTCAAAGGAAGGATGGAAGGGAGACCCCGGGATGCGCGTCTCTGCGATGCAGGGGCACAGTGCAATCAGGCAGCGGCGCATCGCCGCCTCCAAGGCAGCCCCGCAAGCCGCGGGAAGATCAGCCGGGACCTTCTGCGCGCGGGGGCAAACTCCAGCGCGAACGCACCGCTGCAGTCCGCGCGGCCCGGGCCCCCTGGGGTGCGGCACTCCACCTCCGAACATCCGCGGGGACCCGGGCGCTCACCCTGTCCCCCGGCTCACCTTCCCTCCCCAGCGCCTGGCGCACTTTCCCGGGTGGAGTTCACGGGCCCCTTCAACCTAAATCCCCGTGGGCCAGCCCCAGGACAAGGGTCGGAAGAAGGGGCACTCACCTCTTGCCGATCCAACCGCCTCGGGATTTTGAAGTTCAAGTGTCCCAGCAGGGGATCCGTGCGTCCGTGTTTAGGTATTTATTCTCGTTCTTTCCAGTGTCGAAGTTTCCCCTTCGCGCTGTGCCTCTGGTGAAAACAGGACATCCCCTTCGTTCCCCCCCCCCCAACAAATAGCGTACACAAGTGGGGGAGAAACGGGGCGGGGGGACAAGCAGGCTCCGAGGGGGAGGAGGAAAAAAGAGGAGCCAAAACTCTGGACTGACGACGGGCGGGGAAAAGTAGAAAAGAAAAAGAGAGCGCGCGCCCGGCCGCCACGGTCGTCACTCCCCAGCGTTTCCCAAAGTTCTATCCCCCTCTGAAAGGGGAGCGACAACTTCACGTGGACCGGCTCGAAGTTTTGCGCGGAAGCCGAAAGTAGCCGAGCGTGCGCCGCGCCGCGGGCAGCCTCGCACTTGCGCGCGGGGATGGGGGCGGGGGACGCCAGCGGCGGCGCCGCGGCCACTGGAGGCTGCCCGAGGCCTGGAGGCAGGCAGCGAGGGGCGGCTGATCGCAGAGAACTGTCCCTTTTTTATTCGACCTCGGGTGACGACTGTCTGTTGTCATCGTTTGCGGTCCTGCGTGAGGAACCGCTTGGGACCCTGGGCGTCCCCGGTGGCGCCGGGGTAATCTCCGTGCTCTCAGCGCCGTCCCCACCCCGCCCCCCACCATCCGGGCGCCGGCCGCTGCGACCTCCGGGTTGAGGGGAGGGACCCGCGGCCGCAGTCCTCTGCCGGGACTAGGGAACTGTTGTCTGTCCCCACCTGCTGCTGCGGGGCAGTCTCTGAGTTGTCTAATTTTGCCGCTACCCTGTCCCCGGTCGTAGGCCACTGTGGACGTCCTGATGGATTCTTTTCCACTTACCCCGAGGGAGGAGACAGAAGGGACTTCGCCTCTTTGCAACAACGTAAAATAAAAACCAACCCTGGCCAGACTGGGGAAGCTTTTGCTGAAGGGAGGAAATACCCTTTTCCGTGAAGATGTATGCTGGGAACGAGTAAGCAGTGTGCGCGGATAAGCTGTGCTGGGAAGGGCCTGGGCCCCTTCCAGCTGGGCGCAGGTATAGGCATCCCTCCCAGATGCCCAAAGGTCATGCAGCCACGACTGATTTCCAAGGCAGCGTCAGAGCTTCCCCAGGCACATTGCTGAAGTGACATTTCGTGCTTAAGCCTCCTGCGCAAGTATTATGCGCCCACATAGGACTGCTCACGTGTTTGTATCCCAACCAGGGGCAAAAGCAAAGTGGGCAATAAACAATACATAATTTCGCGTCCATTTACTCACCCCTTCCTAAAACCTATTGTCTATTTCAGGAGTGTCGTCTTTGTTACATCAATTGTAAGTGTTTTAATGTACTGAGAATTTACTGAGCATCAGTCCTTATCAGTCCACTCACGGTACCTGTGAGTTCATTTAATTTCACAACAACTCTACGAGCATTATTTAAGCACTTATAAAAGCTAAGTAAACTGAGGCCGGAAGAAACCTAAGTAACTTTCCCAAAGACAAACCCAGTGGTCTCTAACCACAAAGTTTGATTCAACAGGCAGCCGTCCCTCCACCCCCAACACTGCCTTACATGTGGCCTGAGAGATTACAAGTTAACTGGTATAAATTACTCCCTTTAAAGAATATTTAGTTGTTATATAATGTCAACTAAATTATATGCTTTAAAAACTTCAGGACTTTTCCTGAAGTTTTCTCCCCTCTACTTCATATTCAACTGATAGAAATACTGTCCAGTTCAAAAGCAAAAAGTGTTGTATACTTGTAGTTACAATTTATTTTAACTGGGTGGCATTATCTACAAGTACTAACAGGCAATGGAAAAGGTAATTCAAATTTAAACTGGTAAAGGCATTTATTGCAGCTCTTGCTATTCACTGAGTGTCCTTCCCTACAGATTAGTTGGGGGTGGGGTGAAGGTCAGGCATTTGCCAGGGATAGTATTCCCTTTACTGGTTCCCAAGGAAGGGTTCAGTGGTGGGTTTGGCGCAAAGAGGGTTTGGAGCATCATCTAAAGAACATTCCGGCCTGAAGACGATGCCAGTTAATATACACTTATTAAGAAAGAAATATGATGGACAGACTTCAAAAACTTTGCAGCTTATTTATCCCCATTTTACAGGAAAGAAAACTAAGAGCTCATAAGTTGCTATTTTTAGCAACTTCCAAATAAATGGCAGACCTAAGATGCAAACCAACCTGTGAGTACTCCCAAAGACCACTTTGATGTCCTAGTAGTGGTCAGAAAATTAGTTATGTTCAGCACAGTGTATATGTTACAGGCAAAATATGCAATTTAAATGTTTTGTGACTCATTCAGTGTCTAGAAACCCTCAAAGGCTCTAGTATATATCATGTAAAAATTAAATACAATGCTGAATTTAGTACTCTCCTCATAAGGCCACAAAGTTTTGGATTTCATTTTGGTATAGAACGTTAAGTATTAGCGTTATTAGTTTGACTTCTAAATAAAGGTTGGATAAAATAAAAATTCATACCTTGGTATAGCATATCGTTCACACAAATATGATCATTTTGCATGTTTTTTTACTCCCTCTACAATCAGATTTTCAGCAATATCGACCTTGCTTTCAAGTTACTTTGCTCCCACATAATTTTTCTACATCTAGATAAGAAACCGTTTAAAGAAGTTATCCAAAAACCACAGAGATACAGCGTAATATTAGGTATTCAACTTCTTTTTAAAAAATCTTTACCTAAGAACATTTTTTGCCCATTGCTTTTAGAGAGAGAGGAAAATCAAAAATCGAAATGAGAAACACCAATTGGCTGCCTTCCATTGGCCCCCAAACTTGGCATTGAACCTGACACCCAGGTACATGCCTTCACTAGGAATGAAACCTGAAACCTTTCGGTTTGAGGGTGACTCTTCAACCAACTGAGCCACACTGGTCAGGGAATTTATTGAACTTATTACAACTTTCTAATCCATTTAGTTTTAGACATACATATATTACATGGATACCACTGGGAGTGATATAAAAAGTCACATTTTCAGTCCACATTGAGATAGGTTTAGTGTAGTAAACAAACAATTGTAAGGTTTTATAGGTAAAAGGGTATTGCTTGTTTAAACAAGGCATTATTTCCAGGATTTCTATTGAATACCACTTTTTAATTATTGCCATATTACCTATAATATTACTGACTTAATATTTTTCTTTAAATAAGCTATTACATACATCTGTCTGATAAAGGAAACTTTTTATCATCACCATAAGTGGGGAAACAATGCATCTAGCCATGAGTACAAGGTGACCTTGCGAATGAATCTTTACTATGGAAATAAAAATCATTTATCCTGTACCACCTAAAAGTATCTCTCACCCCAGTTTGAGAAATACTAGTTTAATTAATTAAATTTCTTCTTATTCCCTCAGGCTGGCCAAAACATATTTTCAAGCTTTCCCTTTCCATTTCTCTACAGAAATGTTGAATCCATGATGCTTCTAGGTATTACTTTTCAAATTCTGTTATTCAATGATTGGTTTTCTTCCTAAAATATATTTGAAACATCTGACATAGAAGTGTCTTTTTAAAATTGTCTTTTTAAATATATAAAATAATATTTTTGTTTTGTTTTCTATCTTGTAAAAAATTCAAATGATTCATAAGCATGAAATTAAAAATCAAATTACTGTCCTGAAAGACTATGCCAGTTACCCATTACCTTCCTACTCTGTCTACTTATCCCCTCAATACACACTTTACCCTAGGCCTTCACCACTGAAAAAGAAGTTTCCCAATAGTTAACCTCATGAAGTGGCAGCATCTATTGGCCCAGTCTGGTACTACACTAACGTTCTACAAGGCAATGAAGAACAGAGACCAAACTAGATCAATGGGAAAAGCTCAAAGATCTTGAAAGGACAAGTAGGGAAATTCCAAAGTACAGAATCTGCTGGAAAATTCTGGAAGTGATTTAGACACATTAGCAGGTCCTACATGACAGAAATCAGGCCATCAGAATATCCATAAATATTCAACCTCATTTGAGAAAAGACATTTGTTCTGGGAAGAGAGAAAATATAACTTTATAGCGGAAATATAAGATTCACTTGTCATTGTTTCTCTCAACCAACCCCTCCAGGGCGGATGCTTCTGCGGTTATCACCTACTATTTTTTTTCAGTGTGCATGGCATTGTTTTGGTGTTGGGTTTTATAAAAGTCAAATTAAACAAACAAAGTCCTCTAGGAGCTCATAAAGTAAAACATAATTTTAATTTAAACTTAATATTAAAGTAAGCTTAATGGAAAATAACTTTATCATTTTAGTGAGAATAAACTTTAGGCTAAAAAAATGGAATAAGACACTACATTCACCAAAAAAAGGAAAACAGAGGACTGGATTCTTGTAGAAATAATCCCCAAACAGATCTCTTCGGTTACTCCCTGTTGAACTCCAGCTGGAAGTGTACACAATTCTTAAAAAATAAAATCATTCTTAGTAAATTCTAAGCCAAACCCTTTGAGCTTGGGGAGAATGGATGTGTAGAGGCCAGCATCAATACAAACTTGATTTAAGACTGTTTTGCTGGCCTCCCCTACCAACGACAGAACAAATGAGGATACATGCTTGCCCAGGAATCTAAAACGCTGTGCTGCTGGTTTTCTAAAATCTATAAACAAACTCACTTTCTAAGTAATTTTGTGAAAACAGATCAAGCTTACAGAGGTTTCTACTGGTTTGTGAAGAGGGAGAAATCAGATCTGCAGCAGACCTTTGGGTCATTCTCTTCTGCTGGGCTCTGCTACACTTCCTCATTCTTTACAGAGTCTCTAAAGGAAGGGAAACCCACTCTCTGGAAGACAACTTCATTGTATTTGCTTTCAAGTTTTCTCTTCAACTACGCACCCCCCCCAACTTAAATCCTTTTGGTACCATATTACACAATTCTAGTATAGCTTTCATGTTTACACCCAACATTCAGATGTTTATAAACAGATATCATGCCCACTTTTAGTCATCTGTTAGCCATGTTAAACAAAAGTAAGGCTGTTTCATCTTGTTTTAGTTCAGTTTCTCCAAGGCCTTAATCATGCTCATTGCTTGTCTCTGAATTATGTCCAGTTTCCTAGATGTTCATTTCTGTTTAGAGGTATCACCCACACTGAATGCATGTTCCAGGTGTGGTCTCATTAGCCTACTAGACTGAGTCCCTTTATTCTTCTGTGGGATTAGGTTTTGGCTTCACTGAAAATTTCCACTAACTCATATTACTTTCATATTCTAACAAATGTACGTGTAATTCTTTTGTCTATTTTTAGGTCACGTATTGTTTGTTTTTGGCATACTTTAACAATCCTGATTTCTCAAGTACTTCAAATACACAGTTTTAAATGATAATTGTAGTCGAAATATGAACAATATCACTTTGTTGTTCTTTTGATTTCTCTGGCTTATCTTAAAAAACATTTCAGCATAGAAAAGATCCAATTAATCTTTTGTATGCAACTCTTAATTGTATATCATTGTGATGC